CGTACAACGGAAGTGACTAACGCGATTTTTAACTCACCACCGCGTCATATGTTGCTTGTGACATCGATCTCCCTCTCCTCTCTGTGCAAACAACGAACATTTTTTCTTTGCTTTTAACCATTGAATAAATTTCTGAACCCGTAAATGGGAGGTATGTCGCCTTATTATTTTGCATCTCAACATTAGATAAACTTCAGATTAATAAAAAATTCGGATTAATAAGAAACGCTACTCGTAACATCTCCGTATAATTAAATAAGAGTTCTGTTTCCTTAATTATTGGTATCCCAATATTAGACTCCAGATTAATTTTTTTAAAAACCGGTCATTAAAATCTAAACAGAATCTAAAGATTCTACACTGAAAAAAATTATTAAATTAATATAATAACTATTTATTTCAATACTGCCAAATAAATCATTTATTTGAAACTAATAAATATTTATCTGTTTTGAAAAGGATTTTCGTATATCAAATAAATATTATTAGTTTCAAATAAATGATCTATAAGGCAGTATTGAAATAAATATTTATTCAAATTCAATAAATTTTTTCAGTGTACGATATTCTATAATTAACGTTGCTGCTAATATTAACTGACAGTGAGAAATAAATATTCGAAGAAATACATTAAGATTCAACTAAGTAAATTAATGCAATTTATTTTTCTTACGATGATGAAAGATGGATGAGTAGCGTAAAATCGATAATTACTATTGTATACCGTAAGTTTGATTCTATAAAATTCACGCACAAAATTGCAGTCTAAGAATTTGCTGACATTACATAACATTACATACTTATTCTTTATTTTAAATGTATAAATTCTACGATTCTGTGCGCCTAAAAAATGATCAAGATGATCAAAATCTTCGAAAACATCGGCGATGTTTCCAATCACTTTCAATGAATTGAAAAAATTTTAAGAAAATCGTATCTTTGTTTTCCTTATATGACTTTCCATAAAACATCGAATTATCGCGAGATAGTATCACAGATCAGATCACGGAATCGCTCATTAAGCATCGAGAAAAAGTTGCGTAATTCGAAGACAAATGTCCGATATTTTAATATCAAGTTATTACAATTAAATGTATCATTTTTTGTGATCTAATAGATTTTTCATACATGCATTTTTCCGATAAAATTAATTTTCAAATCTTGAAAAATAGATTGAAATAAAAATAAAAGTTCTATATTTAACTTTTAATTAATTATATATTTTATTGTGACTTTTTTTTATTCTACGTCAAATGTGTGAAGGAAAAAAAATTTAAGATCTTCTTGTATAAATTACATATTTAATGTGATTTAATTTTGACTCGTTCGACGTTAATTTCAAACAATTTGCAAGTCATTGGAGGAAGATGAAATTTTTTTTTTACGATCATTAATAAAAATAGCCATTAATCGCAATTACTCAGCGCGCGGAATTTGTTCGGATATTCCTTTCTTTTCTTTAACTCGGTGAAAGTGCTGGATACGCTCGAGCTCCGTTAATTTATTTAAATTGCCGTGGTCTCTCTTCGTATGCTTCCCAACGATTCGATTCGCCATTGTCGACGGTGAACCATCGTTATTTATTGGCGCGTAATTTCGTTTCACAGTCCGATTTTTGTAGCATTGACGTTAGAATAAATAAAGGGGAGATGCATTAAGATTGCATTTTTTTTCTCCTCTAATCAAAAATATATAACTATAAAAATATATAAATATATATAATTTGAATTGACCACGCATAATAAAATCATTAAATTAGCAAATAAATGAACAGACTAAAATAGGTAATATAATAGAATCAATTAATGCTAAACACAAATAGATATGAAAATAAATTAACATAAATCGAAAAATTATAAACGTAAAACCTTAAAATTAATAAACAAAAGATTTTATGATAACTGACGAAGCAATAAATTGCAATTTGCGAATGCAATTTTATAATACACAGATTATTCATCACACGTTTTAAAGCTATATATATATATATTTTTTATGCATTATGCAAGTATATGTATGTGTGCGTGTGAGTGCGTATAGGGTACACGCTGCGTTTCGCAAGTCGAATTATCCAATTATCTGCAATCGAGATTATATCTTTAAAAGGTAGTTAAGAGGATCAATTTTAAATATTATTATCGAATGTATGATTAAAAATCAAGTAAAACTTGCGCATTTATAAAAGTAAAATATTCTTAATATATAAAATATTTAATAAATATTTTACGTATATATATGTAATAAGTATGTGTGTGTGTGTATATATATACTAAATATACTAAATTACTATTTTGTTAATTGAACATATATTAGTATTTAAGTCAAATACACGTTTTGCTAGATTTAATATATGTTATATTTAACATATGAACATATTTAAATTAAATATAACATATATTAAATCTAGCAAAACGTGTATTTGACTTAAATACTAATATATGTTCAATTAACAAAATAGTAATTTAGTTGAAAGGTTTAGCTCAGTTAATTTTTTTTAATGTATATATTACCATATATATAAAATATATAATTTTTAATTAAATGCATAACAGGTTAAATTTTCGGAATTATGTAATTAAATTGTATTAATAAATTAAGAGCAGTTTCATATATTATGTATATAAAATTTTCGAACATACACTTTTCGTTATACCTAAAAATTTCAAGACAATCATGGACAAATTTACTCTAACTCTGATGCTTTTATACATAAATAAATTATAACATCATTAAATATTAAGAAAGCAAAAAATATATAAACATAAAATACATAAAGATTAACATGAAATTAAGATAATAACTAATGTTTGTGTTTTCATTTTTTAAATTGCAAAATTAGCGTGTATGTTAACTATATCTCATTTTCAACGCATCATTTTTAACAACAAATTTAGCGGCAGATAATTTTTTTCAATAAAAAATATGAAAGAAAATTGTTGTTCATCATACCTTTATAATTTTCATAATTATATACTTTTGCAACTAAATTTCGAATTAAAAAATGTTACAGTGAAATTTAATCAAAATCAACTAAAGATATAATTTTATCATTTATTTTCTTTTATGAATTCTCTTTGATTAAAACTCTTTTGCTTTTAATCATTAATTATTTAATTATTCGAAACTATATTTGAACATTTTTCTACTTTACAAAATAAAATTTCTAAATCAATTAAAAATTGAATTATAATTACTGAAATATAATTTTGTTGAATAATTATAAAAAATAGTTATCGAAAATATTGAAATTAGAAATATATAATTATAGAAAATAATTAATTATTGCCGCTAAATAAATTATTATTGAAATATAATTAAATGAAAGTGTGCTATTATACATATACTTGAAAATTAAAATATAATTTTTATTATTCACAAAGAAATTATTAGAATCAAAATGTCTCGTCAAGTGATACAAAAAGCTTGAACCACGAATAAACAGGTTAATCTCAAAGTCGCGTAAGAGGTAAAATTTACGAAAAAAAGCGCATAAACGAGGCAATTAAAATCTTTTTTCGATGAATCTCGATTAAATTCCTCCGCACGAATTATATGAACCATTCCAAAGTCCATTAATGATTCACACGTCCTTGCTTTTTGTCACAAAGGAGGAAACCCGACCTGTTTCTCGCGGTAAAAATAATACATAAAAATGGTCTATTTTATGGAGAAAACCACTTACGATTAATCTATGTTCATTATTAATAATTAATTATAATAATAATTACATTATATAATACTGTAATACATAGTATAATTATATATACTAATATACATATATATATATATATATATGTATATTAATATATCATAATATATTACATATAATAATTATATATAATTATATAAATATATCATATTTTATATATGTAATTATATCATAATATATTACATATATAATAATTATATATAATTATATAAATATATCATATTTTATATATGTAATTATAATATATATTATTATATATAATTAATTATAATTATATGAATTACTATTAATTATATTATTATTATTATTATCTATATTTATTCGATTTAAAACAGAAGGTAATAGGAGATCCGCGTCTCTCATTTTCCACCGTTCGATCATTTTATCATTCAAAATACGTCATCATGAGTAATTAACGTTACAAAATCAAAGTATCTAATTAATGTGTTTTCGCAATAATGGCAAGCAAAAAGCAGAACAAGTAACAGAGGTTACAGTTGAATTCTCGTTGAAAATCAAGATCAAGTTCTGCGATCTCAAAATAAAAAATATACATAAATTATTCTTACGAAATATTTCGTTGCTGCACAGTTAATTAGCACGCTTGGACATAAACATCGGAGAAATTTATACACTCGATTGATTATAAATCTGCAGTTGTGAATAAACAGCTTAATGGATTAATACGTGAGCGAAGTAATTATCCTTCTCTTCTTTGCGAATACGCGCAACTTCAGACAATACATACAGCGCCATCTAGTAGCGAAGTAGAGTAGCAAATTTGATTGAGGTCTGCGAATAAAGGAAAGAAAAACTAATATGAATATATCAAAGAACACATTCATCTATACCAGTAGAGGCGTCTCTTACTGCTTAAATTAAAGATAGAATTACATGTTTAAAATATAAAAATAATGTTTTATATGCACTTGTCATAAACTGTTCCAAAATATCGAAGACTGAAATCGGAAAATAAATATATGATATTTGATATTAGCTTTACAGAAATATTTCATTAATTATACAATATATATTTTATGTTGGTTTTTTTTATTAAAAATTAATCAGAAATAAATGACGTATTCCTTGCTCTAATATTAATAAATTTAATGTCAAAATAATTGCATGTCATGCAATTATTAATCGTTCATATTGTATTTTTGTAACTAATTTACATTTAATACAAAAATATTTTATTATGCATTTATTATCAAATCTATCCGTTAGATAATTGGCGAAAAAGACAGTGCATTTTGTTTCAATACATAACAATTAATAAATATTGAAATAATTGTATATCAAGATATCAATATTTTATTTAATTTTTTTTATCGTGTAGGAATCACATCATTTACCCGTCTGACGACAGTCACATACAAATTGAAGAACACTAAATATATATAAATCGTAATTTTACAAGTTTCATATTTAATGCTATAATTATATATACTACACACTTAGTACCACCTATTGATCGAGCGACACTTGTGTTTTGTCTAGGAAAAGATTCCTACGATAGTACGATAGTAAATTGCAGCAATATATAGGTATTTAATTTCTATAAACATTTGTAATAAAAAAAAAGAAATTTATGTGTAGTATAAACCTTGAATTGATGAAGTTTCGGACGACACTCCGTTTATTTTACTAAGCCCATCTTCTTGGCTTCCACTTCGTAAATCAATAACCTCCACATTTTGACTACAAATACTTCCGCTTCTTCGTCTAATACCTAGAACACGCGAGATATATATTCACAAAAGATCTGTACAAAATTCTTGCAACAGCACACAAGAAATATTTGATAATTACCATCTGTACATCGTCAAGTATTCCTGAGGAGAGCTACCCGCCATTACTTTGCTACAAATAAAATCCACTAAGGTAGGTTCTGGTTCACCAATATATTCGATAATTTTTTTATTGATCCAAGGTCTTATCCTCTTCTCCATCAATGTCTGAACAAGAAGAAATATGTGAAAAACAATGAGAGATAAAAGTTAGTTTTATCCAAAATAATACTCTCTATGATATAGACAAAAAAAATAGATTGATTAAAGGCACGATATAATTGTAATTAAACAAAGTTAATACAACAAGAATAATTTGTTCCAGAAGCTATTTAAATGACACTCACGTTGTCAATAAGTGCCCAATCGAGTTGATAACCAAATAGTGCGTTCTTATCAGTGGGTATTTTGTCTATTAGAGATTTTATATGTTTCCGTTTCTCTTCCTGGCTTTTTGTACTTTCTTCCTTCCCTGCTTTCGTGGCTTCTTCAGTTTTCTTTTTCTTTTCATCGCCGTAATCTGCAAAAATATAGACTATAAGTATTCCAGTTTTCTTCATTAAAGTTAATAATGATGATGAAGATAAAAATGACTTACCTAAAGGTACAAGTTTACGTTTTTTCGCATTATTGGTGGCATCGTCGTCATCATCGTTATTGAAAACGTCTTTAACATCGATGCGGCCTTTTTTCCGCGTTTGATTCGGTTGTTGTGAATTCGTATTAACAGCGGCATTAGGGCTGACCGGTGTTTTACCGCCTATACCGTGATCGCCAGCGCGATTGCCTCCGCTTCCCATAGCAAACGGAACAAAGTTGCCTACAAAAAAAAAATGTTATTATAAAGAGACATTTACATATACAATCACCGGAATATATAATTACCAATATCATAAATAAACGAAAAAGAGTACAGAGAGAGTATTAAGACTCCTGGGTCCTCACCGCAATCATCTTGGATTGTGACGTCAGAGATGAGAAAATACACTCTGAAAAGTCTTGCGTAAAATTTTTAGATAAAAAGAATTTTTAGATAAAGATGGCACGCAAGAATTTTGAGCGTGTTCTCGCCTCTGACGTCACAACTTCAACATGGTCGACGAAGAGCTAGAAACCTTAAATCGCAACGAGACAAATGTTGTATCAAAGAGTGAATTAAACTCACTGCCACTTGTCTTTTCCGGTTCACTGACAAGAGACATGCGTGAATCTTCATCCATTGAAGGCGGAATGGATTGAGCGGGCGTCGCGGCTGCTTGATGCGCGGGGGAAGGTCGTGCATCCTTTAGGCTCTCTCGATCTGCTTCTGCGAGTCCCTCTTGAGTCTCCTCGCCGTCGCGATGATGATTCTGATGATGTCTATGATGCCGACGATGATGATGATGATGTCGCGGTGGCGTTCTGGATGGTGTTTCCGGTTGAGAAACTTCATCAAATTGCACACCATCGTCACTATCACTCTCTATTGGCTCGGTTTCTATCGGCGGCATTATTTCCTTGTCCTTCTTCGCCGCCTTGTCATCCTCTTCGTCGATTATAGTGATCACTGGTTTAGGCTTATATTGTTCCTCCCTTTCGGCTTTCAACTGATGAGGAAAAAAAAACATTAAATAAATTGTCAATAAAAATTAAAAATTTCGTTAATATATTCTTACTTCTTCATTTATAAGTAATATGTAATATATAAATAATCATAATATTATATAATGTTATAATATATATTATTTATATATAATATTCTTACTTCATTAATATATATATTAATAAAGTAAGAATATTATATATAATAATATATTCATATATTATAATACATATTATATATATATATATATATATACGTGTGTATTACTTCTTTGTTACTGTAATTAGATAATTCGAATCTGTAGCGCGATTAAATATAATACAGAAAACAAAATGAAATCTTATGATGTAAAATAAATATTTTCCATAAAGTAGCTCTACGCATACTTAAAGAGCTAATATAATTTTTGATAAGTAATAAGACAATTTTGGCAAATATTTGTGACTATCAATCTCAATACGACTCTTCTCTTCTTATCGTCTGTGTGAGGAATATATGTAGGAATATACCCTTTCAAATTCCGCGGCAGGATCTGGATTAGAAGCATCTGCGTATAACTTGTCGCGTAGACGCTGAAGTTCCTGGCGTTCCGCGCAACGGTCCCTCGAGTCCGCCTCGGCTTCTAGCGCTCGTTCCTCGAGCCGGCGAGACAACTCCTTGCCCTTATAATACTTGGCGTCGTCGCGATCGTCATCGTAGTCCTCGAGGAATTCCTTCAGACGTTTCGCCTCCCTCTCTCTGGCCTCGCATTTCGCGCGACGCTTCTCGGCCTCCTTCTCGTACTCCTTCTGCTTACGTCGTTCGCGCGTCTCCCACGCCCTTAGACGTTCCTGGTACGCCGCCTCCTTCTCTCTGGCTCGCCTCTCGTTCTTCTTCCTCTCCTTCGCCTCCTCCTCCTCCTCCCTCTCGCGCATAATCTCTCTCTCGGTCTTCCTCACCTCCTCACGCTCCCGTTCTCGTTCTCTCTCGCGTTCCCGGTCCCTCTCCTTCTCCCTGTCTCGCTCGCGTTCCCGCTCGCGTTCCCTCTCGCGATCCCGATCCCGCTCCCGTTCCCGCTCTCGGTCTCTTTCACGGTCTCTGTCTCGATCCCGATCTCGCTCGTTTCTCGATCGATCTCTGTCACGTTCTTTAGATCTGGAAAATTCAGCATCGTGAAACAGTTTGCAAAAATTATACTAAAGCTATATATGCAGAGTGTTCCAGAAATAAGTGGCCAATGTTTAAGAGCCTTTATTACAAGCATGAAAAAAGTGTTTTTCGGGATTTTTTTTTTTTCATCCTTACAGTAAATAAAATATGCTCTTGACTATCTATTTCTGAAACCCTTATAAAAGCTAAAAGAAAAAATGTTTAAGTTGAGTCACTTGTTGAGTCAACTGTTTAGGGGTGGCACTCCGTAGCAAGATTCCTCGCACAAGTTTCTATACTATAATAAAGATGTGTTGACCGTACACATTTCTTACTTGCAAGCAAAGTTTAATGCCATACACTTTATACGTTATACATCAATGCGTCCATTATAAGCAAAATATAACTAAGGCATGCTCACCTAGATCTAGAACGACGCTTGTCCCTTCTATTGCTGCCTGTACTATCACTACGACCTTTATGAGACGTAGGACTACCAAGTTCTCCATCCTGATCCTCCTTGTTAGAAACATCGTCGTCGCGTTTATCACGTCGCTCTTTCTCCCGCTTTTCGCGCTCTTCCTTCTCGACGGCCTCCTTCTTTCGCTTCACTTGGGCCTTCTCCTCCTCCTGCTTCTATAAAACACAAGAACGCGGACGCAGGTGAGACGAGAAGGTTGAAACAAAGGTATCGGTCTGTGATATGGAACCAAGAAACTAGCAATCGTATCTTCCTTAAGCGCAAAAAACAAGAGAAACGAGAGAAAAATGATTCATAAACATATATGTATATTATTAACAAATAACAACTTATTAACAATTATGAAAACAAGCACTTATGACGTAACAAGTGTTCAATGAAACTTTGACAAATGACTCGAAAAATTCGCGTATCGCAAAGCGTTAAAAAAATTTTGCCAAAACACTCGTCCGTTTAATTTTTAAAAATTGCCGATTTTTTGCATCTGAGAGAAGATACATAAAGGCAAGAAAAAAAGAATTACGTATCGCGATTCAGAACGATTACTAGTTGTATAAGCCTTAATCATCTGACATAACAAATGTAGAGAGATGTTCATTTCAATATGGTATACTCACTCCACTGGAGTATGCTCGATCGGCAGCATCTTTACACACGAAATCTCGTTTACATATCAATTACCTAAGTGCAGGTACAAATGTTTGGATACAAGCATAAAAGTTATCTTAGACTTCTAGCTTATATTTAAGTACCTTAATAGCTAAACAGATGCATCGCAGAGGCCACCCAATGTACTTACAACATTGCAAATGTGCCTATAAAATGTTCGATAGTGTCTAAAATCTAGTGACAAAATCTCTAGAGCTTGAAAGGGTTCTTATTTTTTTAGATTAAATTTAAAGACATTCTTGATCAATATTCAATAATTATTAGAAAGTATTATACCAATAGAAGGCGCAGTCATCACGAAGAGGGGTATCCCGCCAAAACATCTTTTCACATTTGCCAAGAAACTGTCTGATAACATTTGTTTTCTCCTGGATATGGTTACACGCGTTATGGCAGCCGATGCAGCAAACTGTTGAATATCAAATGCACAATAGTTTGCCCACCGTTATCATCCCCGTGTTATTAAACGCAACGTCTTAGAAATAAATTAGTATGATTCATCCTTATTCGTTACACTAGTATCCAAAAATGGGTTACTGTTTGGAAAATCGATTCCGTTGCCAATTATTAAAATATAATCTGTATAAAAATGCTATTCATTTATATTATATTATGCACAATATTTTCTTCTAATATTCTTATTCTTAATGTAAAAAAATTCCACTATAAAAATTCAAATCATTATAATATGCATTAATAATACTTGCTGCAACAATTATAAACATTTTTAAAAATTCTCTTTATATATTTCTTTCTTTTCATCACGTAACTGTTAATTCTGTTTTACACGATTATCTATTCCAACATCAAATGGAATATATATGTAAATATATATTATACAAGTACGTCCATACGGTAACCCATAGTTTGAAGCTCTAACAAGGGTAGGATAATTCAGTGCATAAAAGTAGATGCACATTGTGAGGAGAGAATAGACTGCTGAAACATGAAACGTGGTCAAAAAGGTATTTTTTTCTCAGAGATGGGCAGTTCACTAGCAAAAAAAACTACAAGAACCGAATTGCTTGTGTTGGCTCATGGTTGTGGAGTTTACTCACGGTGTGAAGTTGACTTGGTCAGTCAGTGTGGTGGTACCGGAGAATGGAGGAGCGCGCACCTAGGTACTACATGTCTGATCGAGACGCTGACAGAAGCTGTTTACACAAAATAAAGACAACAACTGAACAGTCGCCATTGGTGATGGACAAAATCAGTTTCAATTGTGTGTACCGAGCAAAGTTCTTTCTCTCGACCCTATCAAATAGTCTAGTCCGTGTCGCAAAAAGTGTGTCAGCGCCAAACTTGTGTTTTGCTCAAAATGATAGTAATAAGATTCCAATCCTAAATTGTGCGTGAAAGCAACCTAATAACCGCTTATCTACGTTCGATATGCAAATACTAGACTGCTAGGCCTATCTTAGCATGAATATTAATCAATCATGTTTATCTACAAATAGCTTTTGTCATTATATACTTTAATTATAACTCGTTTTAGTAAATGGCAATAAACTAGAAATAAAATATGTAAAAATTATCAGGTTTAAAAAAATATTTAGATTAATGCACATAGTTTTGAAAATTAAGCTTAAACATAGATGAGTCAGATGCAATTAACTTTCTAATTCTGTTATATCTAAAATAATTAAGAAATATCTAATTATTTCCAAAAACTTGATAATTAAGAAAAATTAAATTCTAGGAAAAAATGTTTTGCATAATATTCAAGTTTTCAAAGCCATCTAAATCTTATCCCAATTTCTTTTTTTTAACATCTTTGAATTTAAGAAAAATATTTAATTCTGTTCTATTTTAAATGGCCCTCTTCGTACAAATCCTATTATGAGATATCAATAGATGCAATATTCTTATTTTATAAATATACCTATATTTCTATCTCAATATATACAAACGTTCAATAATTTACAATAACAATTCTGTCAAATAAATTTTTTAATTTTGAAAAATATTACTAATTAACATATCCCAATTTGATTATTATATTAAAAAATATTTTCACAATAGATAAAAAGATCTCATTAAGTTGGCACATTAAAACATTTGATATCAATTGCTAGCAGTTTAGCATGACACATACAGAAGTAGATAAAATTACTTTATTATCAAATAAAAATCGTATCTAAACGTCAAAAATATAATAGTCGCAATTGTGGCACAGATTTATATTTGCGACGAATCAGTAAAACGTAATATACCAATAGAACCGATCAGCTACATGTCGCCAGCTTGTCGCGAAGAGCTACGAGAGTCTCCTTCTTAATGTATAGCATTTCTTTTTTTTTTTTGCTTTTTTCATGTTTTGGTTGTTTGGATTATACTCTGACTTACCGACGAGCCTGCAGCCGCCTGCGAAAATACGAGGGATGTGCTGTGATTGACTCCCTTCAGAGCCAATGAGTGAGTGAAAGGGTGGTCCCCATACACAGCATTCCTAGGCGTGTGCGTTTGCTGTGTGCGACGCACGCTGCCTGTTATTATAATTATAGCAACGAGTCACGGCTCCAATTGTTCAGAGCTAACATAGTAGCACACACGCACTTTTACCACAAAATTACTTAAAATCTACGGCTTTTCGAGAGATATACTCGTAATCCTCTCTTGTATATCCAAATACATTCTTTTACATTTCAAGTATACACAAAGTATACACAAAGAGAGTCTAATTACCAGTGTCTGCGATAGAATGTGTATGCGATTGGACACTCTTACGATAATAAAAGTGTCGATTTATGACTCCGTATTATCATGCAAAACATTGAAAACGCGCGAATATCTGTGTCCAATCGCAACATCCGTATAAAGTAGATACTAGCGGCAATTCATCGACAAACATTAAAAGATAAATTCTTTCTTTCGTGCATAGTACGAATTTCATATAGATTTAACGTCGTTGTTATGCTGCTGTATGTCTTTGATTTCATATCTATGTATCAGCAAGATGTAATGTAATAATATTTTTCTGTACATTCAATGCTCTCAAGTTTCTCAAAAATTTTGCGTACACACACTACAGATCCAATCAGTATCATTAACATTTTAAATATCATAAACTTATGAGTGAACCGACACATGTGTAAAAGACATAAGCATCATGAAAATAACAAACAAAATAATACAAAGTATTACAAACATATACTTAGCATTCTGAAAATAAAAAATAAAAATGTGTGTATCTTTCTTTATATCTTTATAAAATGATAAAGAAACAGATATGTAAGAAGCTAAAAAAATGATATGAATATTCAGAAAGAATACGGATACATATTATTGCCAATGTATTAATAAACACGATTGAGTCATTATATTAATTTATATGATTTTATTGAAAATCTGAAATTATTTTATTCTGCCAAATTTCCAATAGCTTACTTTACAATAAAAAAAATTATATTCAATCGTGTGAGAAAATATGTTTATAATGTTTTGTAAGCCGAGTATGTTACACATAATATTAATCTCATCATAAATATCAATAAATTAATAAAAATTCTTTCGACGTACTTGTTAAGAGAGATTAAACAATTCCGTCTTTTATTGTGTCTACGCAAGATCATAAAAGAACTTTTCATGATCATAAAAAGAAAAAGAGAGAGACAGAGAGACATAGGAGACTTAAAAAAAAAAAAAGATCTAGAAAAATACTTGCAATAATAATTACCTTCATGACTTCCCGAAATTTGCCAATTTCCCGAGTGATCAAATCTCTTTTGCTCTCTTCTATTTCCGCGTCATCCAAGTTTAAGGACTTAGCTACCATTTTTGTCTGATGTTCTTCTGTAATAAATTATAAATCAAAACTTTCACATTTTATTTTTGAAAGCAAAGAAAGAGATTTAGAAATTATGTAAATTACCTGGAGCAACCTGGGCCATTTCTAAATCCGCAGCATGTTCGGCAATGATCTGATGGATACGATTGAGCGCATCCGTATCAACCACTCTCATACCTTCGTCCATATAATCTTCACCTTCTTCGCCATCGGCTCCTTCGCCAGATGTCTCGTCTTGCAAAGGCGACTGACCACCCCTGAGTTTCTTCCTTCGCTCAGCTGTGAAACAATGACATTGTATAATCCATATCATTCAAGTTTCCTTTCTCCTCCTCTTCCATCTTGTATATTTTTTAATTTTTTTAATCTGACAGAATGTCTACTCAAATTTTGTAAAAAAAATTCCGATCTTCCAGTACATTCGTTTAAAATTTTAGGTAAAATAGGAAAATTTGTAGATGCAGCTTTTAAAAGTTTATTGTATACGCTTTTTAATGTTTTCTATTCATTACAATTGGAAATTATTAAAAACAATTTTTCTAACATTTAATATTAATTAATAAATATGAAATAAAAATAGAAAAAAATTATCTTATTAAATTATTATTTTCATTTTTTAATTATTTATGAAATACATAAAGAGTACTAATTTATTTAAACATTACCTGTTAAAAAATTGAATAATTTTTTATAAAAACTTACATCTTGATACTGATATAAATCGTCAATAAAAAAAACATACAATTTTAATAAAAACTTAGATATAGCAAATATATGTTAGACATATGTTTCTTAAATGCTAAATAAAAGTAAAATTCTCAAAAGAATAGATTTTTTAAATTTCCTGACTCTCAATAAAATTCCATGAGAATTCCCTGTAAATACCAGGTTTTTTCCAAAAGTATACCTTTCTGGAAACTCACCTTTGAACTGATCCAGGACTACCTTGGCTTTAGCATCTACCTTGACAACGAGCTTCTTGGTACCTATTTCCATGTCATGGAGTAATCGAACCGCTCTGAGACCCGCATCAGGACCAGCATATTCGCAGAAACCGAACGCCTGTACCCTCTTCCAGGAAAGAACGTGTCCACACGCGCCCAGAATGTGTCGTATCATCACGTCAGGCGCTCTGTCCATTATGTTACCGATGAACACCGTAACAGGTGGACCGGATTCCCTCTCGCGTCTTCGGTTGTTGTCATGGCGATTCTGATTCCGCGAGTAACGCACGGCCGGCGCAGATGTCTGCATCGCAGATACGGGTGTTGGAATCATCTATGTTTTGTAAACGGTAGGATTCTTAATTATGCACATGTCTACTCATGCTCAAGTTTTTCCCTCCCTCCACTAATAACGCGATTAATTCTTATTTTAGCTAAGCTTTCATTTCATTATATTATAGAATATATAAGATTATAACAGACATTCCGCTATGTAAATCATGCATCAAGTAAACTTCAAGAAAAATTAAACATTAGATATCTTACACATCCAAAGCTATCTGTATAAATTTATTAAAACGATTCTCTCTATTCTGTCTTTTGTTGTTGCAACTTGATAATACAAATCTTATGATACATTTCATGGTGCGCATCATTCTATGTTTATACAAATAATGTATGTTCATGCTTAATATGTTCAAAATCAAACGCAACGATATGTATAAATTTGTTTTATAGATTATAATTCTAAAGAACTAACTTCTCAGCAATAGGAAAAGCAAATGTTACACACAAATTGAGTTATTTAATTCGTATATAAGTGAACGTGATGTATTTTACACAGATGACTAATATCAGAATACAATTATCATGCTATCGTCATAAATATGTAACTTACATGTGCCATAGGCATGACTCCTCCTATAATTGGCGGAGGTCCACCAACCATATATGGCATTGGGGGCATCCCTGGAATACCCATAGGTGGTTGACCAGGATACGACATGACAATGTCAAATGGATACTACAAAGAGGAACACTGCAACAATTAAGTTACATAAATTTTTGGCAACTCGAATAAGTCGAGTGAAAATTTACCTTACTTTAAAGATGATTTATGTCTTACGAGCAAAAAATTACATACTCATCATAATAATGCAGCTATAGACACAAGAGATATTAGTTTTATTATATAACATCTATAATGCAAATAATTTTTTTAACAGATTGACTAAATAACTTTGCACAATGCAAAACTTATGCTCCAAAGTCATACTTTAATATACCAATAATAAGTCGGATTGATAGTAACATCCTAAATAATTATACAAAAGAGAAAAATATGATTTGACATACTGTAAAACAGCATCACAATTTCAAAGTTAAGACTGTTATAAAAATACAAAGCTTCTTGTATAGAAAATAAGCAAAAATCACATATATTGCAATATATAATAAAGAAATTATTCTCGCCAGCTATTTATATCATTTAATTGAGATAAAAACAAACTATATGGAATCACCATGACAAGATTAATCAATGAATGAAGACAGAAGGCGACGAAGAATCCTCCGTGTGAAGCGTTCCGTATAAATGTCTCCCTCTCTCTCTCTCTCTTTCTCTCTCTTTCTCTCCCTCTAGCTTCTAATTTATACGTCCGATATATACCATCTGCATTAGTCTCCCTCAAATTATACAAGCACACTCTCTTACTCTCTTCCTCGAAAAAGAAACTGATCCGACCGTGATTATCCTCGCGTCATGTAACGTCCGACAGAGAGAAGAAGAAAGAAAGAAAGAGAGAGAGAGAAAGAAGGGCAAGAGAGAGAGAGACGTCAATGCGGACGGAATTTTAACCACCAAAGCAGGGGCCGATACTCACACGAAAGGGTCCGGGAATGAAACTACAAGTTATCGTACTAGAGTCCTGCGCGTCATCTCGATAAAAATTCTACCGTGAGAATTCTCGCCCTCGATAATCACAATATTACACTACTCCGATCCTCAGCATCGACAGATTTCGGCACAATACAACCGCGACATCATCACGGATACAATCGTGCATCATAGATTCGCCGACTCCCACTTGACGTTTCGTCGTTATTCCCCCCACGAGGCTACCGCGCATGCGCGAGCGGTCTGCGCCGCGCGCGTCAGCCAATCAGCGGCCGGCGCGACTAGGGACCCTAGCGCGCGCGCTAGGGTCCCTAGTCGCGCCGGCCGCTGATTGGCTGACGCGTTCTTGCCTATGAAATCAAACTCTCGCGTTCGAGGACGAACGATTGACGCCGCAGTCGGGTTTTAACGGCAACGGGGCGCGGATTCGCCGGACCTGGTGCGCCTGTGCGGGGAAAATCACCCGGAGGACGAGGACGAAGGAGCCGAGAGAGAGAGACCAAGAGTTGCCGTCCGCGGCGGGCCGTTGCGGGCCGGATTGACAGGCGCGTTCGGTCTCGTCGAACTGCGCTTCCCCGGGTTCCTCGGCACCGAATTTTCGAGAAAGCCTCGAGAGCGCTCCGGATTCGTGCGCTTCCGTGCTTTTTCACGTACAACGTTGACAGACACGATCGTGCATGCAGGCGGTGCATACATGCACGCTGCGTTAAGTCTCTCCCTTTTACACAGTTTTTCGCGCGTGTCCCTTCGTCTCCTGAGTGCGGACACGTAGCACTCGCGTCTCGAAGCCAGAACGGAGCAAAAGGTCCGACCGGCTGATCGTCTCCTCGTACACACATCGAACTTTACTCGGAATACGTTACGTACATATATATATATATATATATGTGTGTGTGTGTATATATATATATATGCATCGCGAGCTTGTAACTAACCTTGCGGGACGCGTCTGGCGTTCAGGGAAACCTAATTAATTTTGCGAATTCTCTTCCCCTTCTCGCGAGTGCGTGAAATGTGAGTTCCTCCTGTTGATTAATAATAACAGAGAATCTTGTTTTGTTAAGAGAGATACGTAAACGTCATGTAAGTATATCTCTATCCTCGCGAAGGATAACAGGTGTAGAAAATTTATTTCCGCTCTTCCGATTTATTTGTAATGAGTTCTCTCTCTTGTACAAATAATATATATTATCGATACCATTATTATTATTATTATTATTATTGTTGTTGTTATTATAATTATGGTGCTTGAGTCTCGTTATTTCGTGTAAAATCAATCGATATTTCTAAACGTATGTTTGCTTAAGGACAACTGTAGGGGCCAAGCAAGTTTTAGCATTCTGTAAATTAGCAAAATATCACGTACAAACTAGTAAAGATTTACTTAATTTTTATCGTTAAGTTTAATTTCTCTATTTACAATAATATATTATTATACCAATATTTTCATGAAATTAGTGCAATAATTTAAATTATGCATTAACAAACTTGTAGAAAAAAAATGGTAATATTTCTCAAATAGCATTTTGCTGATCTAACAGCATGTAAATAATTTCATTCGGATCTGTCATCTCGAAAAAATTGTATTTTAGATATGCGAATAGTATTAAAAAATATACTTGATATTTTACATACTTGTATTTTTATATTGAAAATCTCTATAGCATATATCTAACAATTGTGTTCTTCAAAATTATGGAATAAACATTTACTTTTATATTCTTCATTATGAATGTATATAATCTCTTTACTAAATATCTTTACTGAATATTGTAAACATTTACTAACAAAATTAAACATACAAAATATACATTATGTATATAATGTATATAATTTTAACAATAAAATATCTTTTCGGCGTAATTAATATACAGATAAAAACACTTTAGAATTATATGTATGCATATGATATTTTTTAAGAAATTAATGAAAGAAATAAAATACCAGATTATTAATATATTCAATGTATTCTTGTCTTTTCAAGGTGTATAAAATATATTAGTATGTTGTGTGACAATGATGCAATGTATTGTTATCTCATTTGTATTAAATAAATTTTATCTTTTACGATAAAATTTTAACAACAAGGAACTTTGCATTGCAAATTGAGATTTCTTTCTACCTGTGTGATATGTGTGATGAGATGTTTTATTACTTTGTCAAATAAATAGCAAAATTAACGTACATGTTTATGATTTAATAGCGTTAGAATGCCACCAAGACGAGCGGAAGATGTGCCTGTGAAGAGAGTGGCAGCTGCAGGTTGTAAGTTACCAGCGCAACTGCCAGCGGGAGAAATTTTGACTGATATTACACAGAATAAATGGAGACTGGGAAATACTATTGGATATGGCGGTTTGGAGACATATACTTAGGTAAATATTTTGCATAATCTATTTGCATTCATAATTTTAAGTATAATCTGCATCATATTTTATGCATAAAATTAAATATAATAAAATTGTTTTTTCCTTTACAGCTTCTAATGACATTACATCACCTGTCGGCCAAAATGCCAAATATGTTGTAAAGATTGAACCTCATAATAATGGGCCATTATTTGTTGAAATGAATTTTTATATAAGGGCAGCGCGTAAGCACATGAGTAAGTCATGCATACATGATATGATTTATATCAATCAAAAAATGTTAGTATTGTTAGTATTTGACATTTTTGTTCTCTTTTTTTACAGTTGAAAGTTGGTGCGAGTCTCAGAGGAAAAGGAAAATCGGAGTTCCCGCGTACGAGGGTTCGGGATCTCACATTTATAGGAATGAACGATACAGGTTTCTAGTAATACCGCGATATGGTATAGATATTGGAAAATTATTCCTGTCGCATAGCAGGAAATTACCAACAAGATTAGTTAACACGCTGGCTGTACAAATGGTAAATTTCTTGCTTGTGATGCATAGACAATGAATATTTAAGCGTGATCAAACTTGCGATTATTCAGGAATTATAATCTTCTTTTTGCAGTTGGATGCATTGGAGTATATTCACAGCAAAGGATATGCTCATGCAGATATTAAGGGACCAAATATCCTATTATCGTATGGGGACGGGATAGGGAGGGAAAAGTCCCAAGCATACCTCGTAGATTACGGACTGGCGTATCGTTTTCGCACAGGAACCGGTGAACACAAACCATTTGTACATGACGAGAGAAGAGCTCACGAGGGTACTTTAGAATTCACATCACGGGACGCTCACCATGGAAGTATGTCCACACTTTCAACTTTTGCGCATTATAATTATTTATATATTAGTCTGATAAAAAAGATTATTATAAGAGTATCTTGAAAATATTATTATTGCGTAAGAAACTTACAGGAGCGATACAATTATTTAATTTTGTCAAAGAAATCTTACATTTGTGACAAAATCTGCTGACTATTTATTATTAGAAATGTCTTTAAATTTGAAATTTTCATTAAGAATTTTCATAAAATATTTTCAGCACATTCAAGGAGAGGAGATCTAGAGACTTTAGGATATAACATTATACAATGGATGTGTGGAAAGCTACCTTGGGAGAAAGATAGTGACGACATAGATTCAATTATGGATCCAGAAGAAGTTCATCGACAAAAAGAATTTCTTTTATCAGACTTGTCTTTGTTTATGGATAAATGCTTCCCTTATAAGAAAACACCGCCAGGTAAAAATATGACAAAATAAGATAAATAATAACAAAAACAAAATAAATTCACATTCTATATATCACTTTGTATTGTAACTTTTTTTTACATTAATCTAAAATATGTTTCTCTTACAGCCGCAATTATGAAATATATGAAATATGTGACAGAGTTAGAATTCGAGACCAAGCCCAATTATTCGTATTTACGGAATTTATTTGTACACAGCCAAGATGGCAATATTCCTACATGTCTTTACAGTATGAAAGAATCCAATGAAAATCTTACAACCGCTATATTTTTTGAACGTCCATATTTAAGAGAAAGGAGACCTTGTAGGCCTGTAAATGGCGAAGTAAGACTCATTTAATTTCAATTATCTAGTATAGTTGATATTCACATAATTAACTATTGTTTTAATATTATTTAGATTCGAATAACACGAAATACACAGCCTAAGCATCCAGTTCCAAAAAAAGAATTTAGCTGGGAAGCAGTATTGGCGCTGCACCCGGACAAATTTGCAAAATTAGTACTCAACCGCCACCTTCGACACCTCTGACACCACCTCTCACACCCCCATCAGTCTCACCCTCACGACCACCATCTCTACCGACGTACGCTATGCTAGATGTACTTCGTAGAATGAAGGAAAGGCAATCAAGTTCATTTAGACATAAAGGAATACCGAAATCATCGGAGTAAGTATTCAACTTTCACAATTCAAGAATTTTATACATATATATAATTTTATAAATTCTATATTCCAAATTATATATATAATTTTTAGTGTATATATTTATATATTTTTTTTATATATTTGTTATATATAGATATTTATATATATTATGTTTCACATTTTTATATATCTATTATCTTTCAAATCTTAGTAACGAACTCAAGCCAAAATGGATGACACCCGCGATGGAAGAAGTCGCACGATTAAAAAATAAAATTGTCGAGCCTCCCGATCCTGTAGCAAATTCTCAAGGTTCACGCGTAACACGTTCACGGGTGGCGAAAGTAAAACGTAAGATTAATATATGACATTATTTTTAAAAACAGAAACAACATAGATACTATTTATTGCTCTTACACTTTTAATCAATAGTATTATATTTAGTTAATATATTATGCATATATATTCATTAAATTTTGTCAACTGGTTGCATTATTGATATATCAGCAAATTGATGCATTGATAATTAATTCTAGAATAATTGCAAATGTGTATTTTATATATAATTATGGAAATAATGTAAAATTTTAATCTTAATTAATTTCGAAAATATTGTTGATATTTTTTTTTTAAAAAAAATAATATTTAAATCTTTTTTATATACATTTATATTTTTTATACATTTTTATATATTTTTTATACATATTTTTTATACATTTCTACAATAGAACAATGAATCTTTGAGATACGTGGATATATATTTATAATATCAAATAATCATATAATTATGTATATTAGGACTTGGAGTTAAGAAGCAAGATAAACGGAAAAGGGACAATCCAATCGAGGTTACAAATAAAAGAAGAAAATGCTCATTCTCTTAAATGGGCCTGGTTAGTATTATGGAGATCATATCTCTGAGAATGACACCATCGGCACATTCACTTCATTAGGAAATATATAATTAAGTATTATTCGGACAAAATCTCATCCATCGACATGATGTTATCGCCACACATCGCGCCAATTTGTTTAAGACTGCTTCATCATGATAATTTGTTCTTCGATAATATTAAACGATATACATAAGATTTCTAAATAGTTGTATAGCGAACAAAATAGTGATAATATTACTAATAATACTAAGTGACTTCCTCCTAGGAAATTACAGAGATTCAATAGAATTAATGTGTTCGTATAGAAAGACGTCAAATGTCGATGTCATAATATTCCTGCAAGAGATGATGCCTGTTACATAATTTAAGATCGCACAAGTGAATTTTGCAATCAGATCATTAGGTTGAATTTATTTAATTTAATATGTAGAAAAAAGAGAGAGAGAGAGAGAGAGAGTATGTGAATCTGTGTGTATGTATGTGTACATGAGTGTGCATATGTTATACATATATAATATTACAATCGAATCAGTCAGATTAAATGTTTCTCTCTATATATTTACAATTATACATAATAATTTGACTCACGTTTGTGTCCGACACATAACACAGACAATGTTATAAAATTTCTAATATCTCACTCTCTTGTGTTTTAAAAGAAGATATACAGTATTTATATACAAAAACAAATTGATATAAAATAGTAAAGATAATTATACGACGATTACAATAAATTACAGATTACATAAATTTTCGATTTAAGAATATTCTTGTGCAATATAAATCGTAAAGAAATGTCAAAGGAAAGATAATGGATATTGAATGTGTCATACTTTTTGTAAAATCTTGTTTTCCAGAACAATCGTGTCTCCCTATCTAGCTGCTCAAGAATTATTGTAAAATATTAAGGAATTATTAACGCAGATATGTAACTCAATCAATTTTATATATTAATTTTTTCAGTTAGGTTCCGCGCGCCATAGAAAAAACATTAGGAATAAATAATGTTAAATATTAAGAATTATTTTAAAATAAAATCAAAAAATTCTGATATACAAATATAAATTCAAGTATAAAGTGCTCTTACCAGTTTATTAATTCTTACTAATCCTTTATATTTGAATTTGCATTTTTATAATAGAATTTTTTTGATTTTATTATTTTAAATTATTCTTAATATTTAATACTTATTCCTAATATTTTCTCTATTGTGCGCTGAGCCTTAATCCCCTGAGCTCTATTAATTTTATGCAAAATTAAATAACACAAGAGAAGATACATTTTTTGTACTATGCACATGCATATTTCCTTTGTTAAAGTCAATATAATTGTAAATACGTCATTTCTCTACTATAATATAGTTCGTTTCACTAATTTGTATAAAATGTATTCAAAGATATTTTAACTTTTACAGTTTAATTTTTATTATGACAGGTGTAATAAACAAAAGCATACGTTTAATATATATTTAGTTTATATCGTGACATTTAAAATTGATACTAATCGAAAAATAAGTCAGAAATACTACAAAAGAATATTAACAAAACGTATAATAAGATTTCACTGTTTTATATGTTTTACGAGTGAAGCGAGGTTTAGTAATTTTTTTAATGCCGTAATTCCGAGCTTATATTAGAAAATACTACACCATGATCGATTTTATGTCACATTATATAAACTTTTATCTCTGATAGAGGTAGATCTAGAACGTGCGCGTGTATATTTATGAATTAATTGATGTCGTTTAATCATTGTGTTGGCGCTTTTCGTTGTCGTGATTCATTTATAGGTTTATAGTTATAATTTTTTTACAGTACACATTTGTGATAATTTATTTATATTATATCATTCTCTAAGTTATATGTATCTGTGTCCCCTTTCTCTTCCTGCCCTTCTCTCTCAGCGTTATTGCTCGAAACTGTCATCAATCTATATTTGTATTCTATCTCCATACGAAACTCCTCATCGTTATGTTTAAATGCGAAAATGGTAGATACTATACCTGTTTTTAGAATATTTTAAAAAAAAATATCAAACCCTGGGAAGAAACATTATTTTCTCGTAGACATACGGCCAAATATACATTATTAGATTATTTTGTACAGATTGATATCTTACTGGCAATAAAATAGACTTTGTAATAATTAAAAACACAGCGCGATAAGACTGCGCATTTTCCTAAGTATTGCTAAACATTGCGAAATTACTATTATTGTTTTATACATAAGATATATACATAAGATGATAATTACTTAAATTTGAGCGAAGATGTAACAAGAATGTAACTATTAGATAAAATGTATATAAAATTATAAACCATACTAGATTTTATATATCTATATATATATATGTATATATAAATTTATATATATGTATATATATAAATATATATATATATATATATATATAAAATGTGTGTATATGTATGTATGTATATATATACATGTACTCGCGTCGGCATTGTATATTTATCGCTCAATACATTGTTTTATGGCTATATATATTGCAAAATATATAAAAACAAGTATATGAATAATTTTATATTTTTTGCATGCCATATTAGAAATTTATACAATTTATCTCATTCAAATTATTAAATGATTATTCTATGTTTATGATATGATAGGAAGAGAAGACAATTAATGCGAGTATTATTAATCATATATCTGGATTAAAAGACGTTGTTCACTTTCTTATTATTTTAATAAAAATATAAAAGAACACAAAAATACTAAAGGCTATTAGAAAAAATTAAGTTACAACATATGTTAATTTCTCTTTTGAAATTAATATTAATGCAATGTTTTTTATTGACAAAAATTTTATTCCAGTTTCATATTTTTGATGCATTTAGACATTAACACAATAGCTTTAAAAATCAAGCTTATGAGAAATTATTAGGTAACTAATTTATGAAAATGCAACTTTATTGTGAAAAAATGTTAACAAATGAATCATTCAAAGTATTGCCCATCGTTAGCCACAACTTTTTCCCATCTTTCTGGCAGAGCTCGAATACCGTTACGGTAAAAGTATTCGTCTTTTGAGGCTATCCACGAATCAAGCCATTTTTGATGTCTTCATATGAGCGGAACTGCTGATCAGCCAGACCATGTGCCATCGAACGGAACAAGTAATAATCGGACGGCGCAATATCTGGGAATATGGCGGGTGGGGTAGGACTTCCCATTTGAGCGTTTCCACGTAAGTTTAACGGGTTTGGCAACATGAGGCCGAGCGGTTGTCATGCAGTAGAATCACTTTTTCGTGCCTCTGCTCAAATCATAAGGAACCCATTCCTTGCTTTTGAATCATTCGCATGCAATCGCTTGGAATGGCTTGGCGGGTAACTCCTAATGCTGAAGCAAGCTGTTCTTGCGTTTGGCATGGATCCTCATCGAGCAATGCCTCCAATTCAGCGTCTTCGAAGGTTTTTGGCCTTCCTTCACGCGGACGGTCGTCAACATCGAATCACCGTCTTTGAAGCGACGGAACCAATCACGGCACGTTGTTTCACTTAGAGCAGCATCTCCGTAACTTTTGGAGCTCTCGATGCGCTTCAGCCGCCGTTTCTTCGAATGAAATAAGAAATCAACACTTCCCGCAAATGACGATTATTTGGTACAAAATCAGACATTTTCACACACTAAAAGTATATGACGCCAAAACAAAATCATTAACATGTCAAAGCGGTTTGTTTACCATATGTCTAAGCTTGGCTCGTGACGTTTTGGATATGTCAAAATCGACCAGCACTTACTGCTGGAGCCATCTATAGACAAACAGCGGGAACTTAGTTGCGCACCTAATATATAAAAATTAATTAAAATTTATATGAAAAAAATCTCAACAATAATTTAAAGAGACATAAATGAAGGAAAACGTGTGATTAAAATGTTTACAATTATTCCTGCTTAATTCCAAGATTAATAATTAGAAATTTGATTGAAGTTTACACCAAAAAATTCTCAGAAGGTAAAAAGCGAATCTTGAAATTCTGGAATTAATTTTTATTTGCTGAAATTAAATATAATTTTGTTTTGCAATGTAAGTATTAAGGAGCAACGTCCTAATATGTTCAGGGGAGCGTATTCCCCATTCATTCCTGCCATCGGATGCAAGATGCAACAGCGACGAACGCCGACCGTCTAATAATAGAACGGCGACGACTCCGTTGACGTATCGTGCGTGCCCCTAATATATACGCACGTGTAAGCGCGTATTCCGCGCTTCTTCGAAAAATAAACGCAGCCACGCGTGCGAGAAGGCTCCAGAAAGAATTTACAGCTATATACTTTTTCGGCGATACGTATATATTTTCGGGAGATCCTTTATTTCGGATGTCACTCCGCGCTCGTTAATATTCCGCGCGATGCGTATCGCTTCCACGCTTTCTCATCGGAGACATAAATCAAGGCATTACTTCAGACACGCAGTTGCAAGAAGTATTTAAACAGTTTACGGTGACCATTGAAATTTAATATCCTTTTAAGACTCCAGTACTGTTATTTAGTTTTTAGCTACATTAACATAGGTTAGCTACCATTAATATATAGGTTATTTTTATTTTTATCATATCATTTTTTGTCTTTTTTAAAATATTTTTTATTATTTTATATATTGTTATATTTTAAATATTTTTCTATACTTTATATATTATATTTTAAATATTTTTTATATTATATTTTTAAATATTGTTTATATATATATATATATATATATATATTTTTATTTTCTTTTTATTTTATATCTTGTTATATTTTAAATATTTTTATATCCTTCATATATTATTAAATTTTAAATATTGTTATATATTATATTTTAAATATTGTTATATATATATATATACAATTATATATAAAATATAATATATATTTTTTATATATTCTAAATATTATATTTTTTAGCCCAAAATAAATTAACAGAAAGAATTTAAAATCGACATACTATTGTCTAAAATAATTTTATATTTTGAATTAGATTTGAAATATCCTTAAACATACAGATATTTAAAAAACAGACAAAAATAAAAGAACGAAAAAAATCACATCAAAATCTAGGGACTGTATTTCGCAAAACGTGGGAGCGCGTTGATTGGCCCGCGCGAGCGTTCACCCTAGGCGATTTTCGGGCGGCGTCCAATGGCTCGCGTCCTGTCAGTCGCGCCTCATCCTGCGAGCGCGCGTGACGTGCGCGCAGGAGCGTCCGACGCTCCCGCTTCACCTCTCTCGTACTTCGCGCTCCGGTGTCGGCGGTGTCTGGCAGTCGCGATCCATCCTCTGCGCGGCGTGCTTCGTCTCCCGCGTCTCCTTCGGCAGTGTTTACCGAAAAGACAATGTCGGTTCTCGCGCGTTCATGGACGTGTTATCGAGCCCGCGTTGTTTCGAAGCGACCAGACGAGACGTCGCGCGACGATCATCATCATCATTATCATCATCATCATCATCGCCGCACGT